TTTAACTTTGCGGATACCCGGAGCTCGCTCCGTTCTTACCATGTTCATCTCTTTGATTGTTTGCGTCACAGCTCAGCTGTTTGTTGACCTATTCTGTGCCACCGTAGGACCCGCAGGTAGCTGAAGCCTTATTTCGAACTTTATTGCTGGCCATTCATCTCTCCTAGCGCGCCGTTATCCGTCGTCTGTCTCACTCGCGTTTACTTGACATGTGGTCAAAAGTCTTAATGATATGGTTGAATCAGCCACTGATACCTCCATTCCTTTAGCCACTATCTCTGCTCTGCGGCAGCTGTTTGCTGTATGCTCTATTCAACTTTGGGAATACTCCTTAGCTTGCTAGGCGTCAGTCCTTCTGTAGATTGTTTATTCTCCTGGTATAGTTTTTTCACAGCTCAGCTGGTTTGCTGTCCGATCCTTTGACACGGTTGTTATTCATTGGCACCTCGAATGATTAACCCAACAGGCACCCTTGTCCACTGATACCCGGTCCAGTATCGATATCTTCTAATCGTCTTACCTTCAACACTTAGTCTTCCTTTGATATCCATTTAATCTTAGCCAGCTTCTAATATGCTCAGCTTCCTATATTCATATACCTATGTACATTGTAGTTATGGTGTCTTAGGTAATCCTTATCCCGTGAGCATATATAAATACGGCCACATCGTCACTGTCCTTGGGTTTCCGATAACAACCAATCGTGACTACACACCCACTTTCTAGTCTCAGGTAGAATTCGAACATTGTCAGCTTACACCTCATGAATATCTTACCGGAATCCTGCTCTTCATCCCTATGCACATGAAAGTATTCTACCCATCAGGCCATGCCTTCCGCATAAGTAAAAACATCTTTAGCGTAATATCTGTTACACCTTGTACACTAGTTGTCTCAAATAAATGTCTTAATGTAGGATTTTGATCAAACGCTAGGTACATCGACTGTTCCTTTTCGGTCTTCTCTCGGCTTGTTCCTCTCTCCCTTTTCTCTGAGGTCGTGAACATCGGAGAGCTTCGGGATTGAACTGAGGAACTGCCTCCGTCTGGGATGGGACGAAATAACCAACAAGTACTTACCTGGACCATGGCCTCACTTCCACTCTAACTATTTGCACCCAACCACCGATGTCCAGTGAGGGTAGCTGGACACGAATTCTTCGCTCCCCGGCAAATATACATAATCAGAGATGACTTCATGTGGTTCTGCGAAGGATCAACACATTATATTCAATAAGAATGATTAGTACCCGACCTACCAACGGACAGGACCCAGGAACGCAATAGGCAACCAGTTACTGCATCAACCAGCGGAAAAAATGGGACGCAACCTGACTGCGAATAACCGAGCAAACAGACTTTTAACAAGAAACATAGCCAGTTACAATTTGCCATTCAATGGATTGGTGGCAGTGTTCCAGGACGTGGTGGGTTTTCGCCTGGCAAGCGTTCTCCCTACAAAAAGCCACAAATGTCCGTTTAACAACACTGCAACGTGGCGTATGTGACTCGCCACCGAATAAAGTCACAGCCCATAACTTTACACTGGCAGGTCAACTAGCGTCACAATTCTACATAGGATCGTTACACTGGGACTTCTACATCTGTATATACTGTTGTCGTTTTACATCCTACCATACGTTGCCCTTTTCCTTCCTTGTGTGCGGGCTCTTCCATTACCTTTCAGTGGATCATTCAGGTTTCTCAATCTCTTATTAGCTGAGGTCCCGTATCTCATGACAGCCAACTTATTGTTTCGCATTTTCAACATTGTACAGTTCCAATCATGGATATATGAACAATTTTCTGCGTTACTGTTACAATTGCATTATAATGTTTGTACCGTTGTACATATCTGATCATGCCTCCATGAGCGTGCCTCGCATAGTCGAGAATAAAATATTTATTTATTTATTTATTTATATGGTTGGCGGCATCCGGTTTCGGATTTGCCTGTCAATGTGGTCAGCCACAGGACGCTTGTGCCTACAGAGGGACCATGCGTGGATTGCGGTGCACCACCCACAGCTCCATCCACACACCCCATATCCAGTGTAAACCCGAAGGAATAAGACCGGGAGGCATGTGGATGGGAGCCACGTTTCATCAACGGAGCCGGCCCACATTCCTTTACAGGCAAACACAAGCACACTGTATTTTGGGGATCAAGCGCACACAAGGCGGTGGCTGCACCGTAGTCCGCTCCACAATGAGTGCATGGAACCACTCTTCGAGCGTAGCACGCCCACAAGGACCGTGCACCTCGTCCCCTCCAGCAACGACCAACTGTCTCCTGGAGCCAGATGAACGAGGTAGTGGGTAATAGACAGGTAGGCACCTTGTCAACATGCACATCAAGCGCAGCCAAACCGGGGATATCAAGCAACTGCCATTCACTTTAAACCACAAGCTGAAATAAAATAAATCAAATAATGCATACAGATACGGTGGCGTAACTCTTCCCTAAATTACTATATGAATTAAGGTAGTTATCAACGAATCCGCGATAAGTAAGAAATGTCCACAAGTTACTTAAAAATGCTGCGAACGAAACAAAATTACCGAAGATAAGCACAATTGGCGTAAGCAACGTGGCCAGTTAATAGAACATTATTCAGATAGGCAGAACAAACCAAATAAAGTGGAATGAAAGTTATCCAGTTTAGAAGACCTAGTTTAATTGTAAGTTGCTTTAGCCCAACTGCGGTGAAGAAGCACCAAGAATGCAACATCATTCTCAGCATGGGGCACATATATATACATATACACACATATGTACATATACATACACGACGCTAAGGAATTCATGTCATGATTGGGCATACAGCAATGAGTTCAGCCTTCATGCACTTTACCGCTTCCTGATTTTGGTGTTAAGTTTAATAGTTGGAGTACAAGCTCGACAACTTTCATTTTGAGTTGCTACTTTGGACCATGCATTCAAAGAAAGGTCGCTTCGAAGCTCCGTAAAAGGGAACAAAACCCGCAAGTAACTGGCTAGTGATTATCATGTTGTGGATGATTCACGTTGTGATTCTCATGTCACTGAATGTGAGAATAGCAATTTTTCGCGTTATTAGTCCGCCGAATGTAGCTGAGCATCTCAAATGGTAGCTACTGTAGAAGTTAGAGGTGGAAATGCAGAGGCGCTTGTTAAAATTCCTAGTAAAAATAACCGATCGTCGGAATGTATGTCAACCTTGTCAACTGGATAGAAGTATAAATACAAATATGCTCATTTTTTTGAATTGCAGTTATATCATGCTGAATCCCTACAAACATGTGTTACGGCTGAATATTTACCCGTCCTTAGTGCATGAATCATTTACTTGACTTGAATTAGTAGGTCAGGCCAACAGTGATGGTACGTTAGTGAATTCACATAATTCATCCGCAATGAATCTGTGCAAAGCTAACATTGCGAAAGAGTGCAGAATGGCTACACTAGATGCATGACCACAGATAATTTTACATAGCTAATCACCACAGACGAGTAGCCAGCTACGTATGACAAGTGCTGAGTAAGAGTAATTTGATGGCAAGTATACCACTTCTTCGACATTTACCACGTCTGAGTTTTTCTTGGAAAGCCGAATGTTTGACAGTGGGCATTTGGGATTACCTGCTGTATTAGTACTGTGGTCGCGCCTAAGAGACTATCAGCACATGTGTGATATCACCAACTGCCAATGAGTAAGGTAGGACAAGAGCAGTTCTTCGGGAATCCGCACTTATCCCTGACAGGAAACGATCGGACAGGTCCAGGCTTAATCGGCTACACGGAGAGACTGTAGTTAACATCCCGGGGCATTCTCACGCTGCGCGACCTTCATCAGTTGCATGCCCGATTTTATATATAGGAGAAGCCATCTATAACATACACTGACGGAAAGTCAGCACCGTCTTACCGTACCAGCTTTTGTACCACATTTGATTAAGTTTCAGTCTGTTTCATAGGTTCACGTCTAATGTTTAGAAACCACCAACAAATCTTAATGGTTACTTAATCTTGCACATACGCTTTCTCATAACTTGATGAATATAGCTGTAATTCTTGCCTCCAATCCACAAGCTTACACATTCGTATTATTATTGTTCTTATGCTTATTGTTCTTATTATTTTTTCGTTCCGCCAATTTCTCAATGTTTGTCCCTTCGTGATACTTCATACACAATTGCCGACAATTGCATGTGCATATACGTCGTTTTGCTGGACTTGAACTGACACAGGGTGTTTGCCAAGATCTACGCTGATGAAGCACATGACGTGCTCTGTCTTAGCAATCGGGCTAAACTCCCCAGACTGTCTGTCGTACGTACGCTTGACACATGAAAGTGTCCGTGTGATATGCAAAGCCTGGTTGCGCTTGATGTGAATGTTGACGAGGTGCCTACCTGTCTATTATCCTCCACCTGGATCACACTGGATCCAGGAGACCGTGAATCTTTGCTGGGGGTTTCGGGTACATCGTCTTCTTGACGGTGCTAGGTTCAAAGTGTGGTTCTATTCGGTGAATAGCAAGCTATTGCCTAACCAGCGCCATGTGTATATCTGGTATGCATGATTCACCAGTAGACATGAGTGCTGCTTACTACAAATCCGGGTGTATGTGCACTAATCAAGCTGGTGCACAAAATCAGTTTAGCTTGCCACTAAACCATTGTTAGCATGTAGCTGCAACTCATCAATTAAATATACCATCTAGCGTGTTTGTTCATGTCAGACATGAACCATATCAGCTACAACATACGTGTTCGCAACACAGTAATCACATGCTATTTCCGGGTCTATAAAGCCTACTGTGTTTATCATGACTATAGTAACGGCTCCTTGAGTGAATTAATCTCTCGTGTTTCGGAGACTGTTACTTTATCAACAACTATAAACACCTAGTAGCATCTTTAACTGCCTGCTCCATCATTCTATGCTAATGGATTTCGGCGTTTCATGTAAATACGTGTTAAACTCTTGCTATTTAATGGCCAATATGAGCAACTCACCAGTTTCCGAAGAAAATTCTGGCATCCTTGTTTGTGTGCTATTTGGGAGCACACTTTCGGCAAAGGCAGAAGATGCTTCGCGTGGTACCTCCCCCAAACTTGAATGCGTTAGCAGACCAGTCTCTGAATTTATGCTTGGTGTATTATTTGTCATTGTGACCAGCTTTTCAACAGTGGTCTGTCTTCTCTCTGCGCACGAGGCGTCAATACCTTTTGATTGGATGGGGTTTAACAAATGCTCTTGGATAATGGGTCGTTGTCCTAGCTGCGCTTCTGAGAACTCTGCTCGAATCTGTCTCACTGATTCAAAAGCTCTCGACCAGGTCACATCTTTCTGATGTCGAGAGGTGACTGCCGGATTAGGTTTAAGTCCCAACGGTCTTTCGTTGGATATCGAGCCTGTTTTGTTAGCGTTTGTGCCCAATTTATCTCTTGGTTCTTCCGTCGTTTTGTCACAGTCGATACACTGCGTGTCGGATGACCACTTTTCGTCAGCTGCATTAACGGTATCACTCTGTCTGTTTTTACTATACGTTTGAAAATGTTCCACAGGGAGCCGATGTACGTGCCTCACAAGCCATTTTTTATCGTCTACATGGTCCAGTATTCCGTTAGCCTTCATGGTTGTTCCCATGGCCAGCAGACATTTCTCAATCGGTCTAGAGGGCCACTCTTTGGGTAGCAGTTGATTGTTTATGTCAGCCACAAGTTTCGGGTGACTGTTGTCCCCTTTGTGGTTACTGGACAAAGAGCGCTGGTCGACTGTTGGCTCTATCTCCTGAGTGTTAATGTCCCCGCTAGCTGATTTCATAGTTTGGTGAGGAGTCCTTGATCTTAGAGTATTCGCATCGTTTGTGGTCCCGGTCTCTGTCAGATGTTTGTCTGTAATTTTAGCTTCCCTTAATTTATCCGAGGCATTTATTAAATTTCTTTCTGAAGCCCGATCTCTTCTTGTAACACCGGTGCTTGAGGAAGTTGGTTGAAGTATTTCATCGTTGCCAACTCCGTCATTCCCTTCGTTCATTGTGGAACCATCTTGATGGATTCCGTTCAGTCCTTAAGAAAGAAGAAAGATTTGTACATTATTGCAGCATCAGATATAACGTGATCTGCTAAACAGAACTTATCGCATTACTGTTATGGTGTTAGTTCTGCTCCAGTCTCAATTCGAGCATTAATCCTTCACCAATAACTAGGTGGGAATGAGGGTGAGGTACAGATGAGAGATAAGTGATCTAAAATGCTGCGAGCATGATTACTATCTAATATCACTGCTCATCAGCCACGTTGACCGAATGGGAAGTAAGGCTGGTCACTCGGGCGCATCTATACTCCCGGAAGCCAAAGTGTATGGCTCCAGCAACATCGTATTTTAGTGTCACCCCGGGAACCAAGTACAAAGAAGTTGTTCGGTATTATGAAAAATACATTTCAGCTATCGAAGGCGGGAACGTTCCCAATAACAACATCCACGATAAATGTGTATGAATGGAGTCCATGAATTCCCAGAGGGGCAAATAAACACTAAACTACCGGTAAGTTTCCAGTCTCGGTGGATTGGCTGGGTGTCAGTGGTTCGTGATGGGTTACCAGCCCGATTATCTCAAATGACGATAGGTTGTGTGGCAGCAGGGTTACTGCATTTGCAACGTGTGGTTTGTGACTATAATTTCGGACGCTAAATATGTAACGAATAGAGCGGCTGTTCATTACGTAGAGGGGGTACATGTGAGCATATGTAACTGGATCTAAAAGACAGCATAGTTGACTTTATAATGTATCAAGCGGTTACTATTTTCTGAATAATATTCCCTAAGGACGACCCGCATAGATGGACATGGTAAAGGCATTTAGTCCACACACCATTGAGTGATCAACTTCACTGTCCGCCCTTACTATGTTCGGCCGACAACACTGACAACTGTCTGATTTGTGACGGTGTTGATTCAAGAGTTTCGGCATGCTCCCTGTAGAGTTGTGAGTGAGATTTCACGAATTGTTGCCTGTGGTTCGTACTGACCAGGCCCGAACCGTTCACCGAATCTGTTTCTCGCCCGACAGTTTCATCAGCTTGGATCCTGTGTATTGATGTGTGTACTTGAGCATGCATTCCGATGGACACAGAAATATCTTGAGAGCGTCCATCTGTAGCTCCATTGGGCTGGAAACGAATCAGGTGGCCCCTTTTCAGTTGATAACCAGATATGAACTTCAAAATCCAGTACATTACAGAATATAAGCGCGCACAATTTTTGGACAAATTTTCATGCATGTAGGGGAAAGGTCAGCTTACATCAAGGTTAAACGCAATTGGAAAAAATTCACATGCAATATCCACCAAGAAATTTGTTACACACTGCTCCTATCTGCTCTTCTCACCACTCGCTAGTGACGGACAGTATTCCAAACAGGGATTTGAAGTGCCTCATTATTTCGTACAGTGTCTACGCAGCACTGCGGGCACCTTGTTTATAACAAAGCATCTCAATTTTGTGATAAAAATGCTCGGTATATTGCTCACTTAAAGTTCGCGACGGATGGCAGTGACAGGAACATGCGGAACTATATGGAATCAAACATCCTCACACACAATAACATGGGAAAAACATGACAGCAAAGCACTTACCGTGGATGAACAAGGTGGTCAGCCGAAACCACAAGTAAGATTACGTGTCGCAATCCAAGCTACACGGCGGGTGCTCCAAAAGCCGAAAATCAGTTTTATTTCTCTCGGGAGGCGGTTTGGCTAATTTAAGGACTTACGACTTTGGACAAATTGGATATTGCGAACTTATATTACAGACCTATCCATGGAAGGACTTATATCCAGTAATATATAGTAAGTTAATTACATTTGTAAGGCCTACGACCTTCCGTTTGTTCTATGTACCTGACGAACGATGCAATATATCTGATGAGAGGGGTAAAGGAACCAATGCCAAACAACTCCCTGGGATTCTCACGGACAAAACTGCAAAATCATAACTTACGTTTCATCGATATGAAGAACATAACGCTGGGCGGTGAAGCAGCGATATATTAGTGGTGAAGAATTTCAATAGAGTTCGATAGTTCAACTGAGTGCACCATATGCATGGTGATGCATTAGATCAGAAAATAAGCATCCGAATGCAAACTATGGCGTAGGACAGTCAAAGTTAGTGCTTCTTGTGCGAAAATAAGAGCGCTTGTCTCTTGCATCGCATAGCGTACATCAACTTAGTGTCTAGTTTACTTAGTATTGTCACAGATGATGATGTAAAATAAAGGAAGCCAAAAGTGATATGTATATATATATATATATATGATGCGTTTTCTGAGGACCCACTGTAAGGACTATAACGTCTTTATTCGAGGTATTGCTTGAAACTTGGCAGAAGGGAAATGAAAGTATCAACGTCTGCTCCATAGCCAGCTACATTTTGACCATAGCTACAAATGGTTGTTTACCGTAAGTTGGTGTAGTGGCCGTTGTTAAGCAAATGGCGGAAATGTGAACACGGTCTGTCAATATTTGCAACACGAACATTGGATTGCTACTTTAAGTATTTGCACTCTGATGCTGCTCAAACCATGTCTTTCATGTCGGTTGGGATAGCGCCAAATCTCCCGCATCCGCGCAGGTTCGAACAACAGAACCGTGGACTAAACGCCAAATAGATTAAGCCCTGTCCAAAGAAACATACCTAAACAGTGACACCCTGTGATGTTCTTCAAAAGCCTACATGTCATCTTACACAAGTGTTTTGCAGTCCACCTAAAGCTTATTAATTCAGAAGAGTTTGGAACAACACTATGCAAGTAACCTAAATGAATGATGCACAACATTTCCGGTGTACATCAGCAGATTGCTTGGTAACATGCTCCGTGAGTGGAGCATTTCAAGATCAGTAGCTGTGTGGAAGATGTCTTATTTTGCTATGCCAGCTAATTAAACAGTAAAGCGTCATCCTACGCACGAGAGAACTTCGCAACTTATAAACATCGTTGGTTATAGCCACCCAAGGTCGTAGACATTCCCAGTCAGCCCGTGCTTCTAATCCAGCGTCTATTCAACTTTCATAGTTCACCATAAAATTGATGTTTTATGCGATACTGCCCGATGTAACACCCTGCCCTTCCCTCTGCACTCACCTGCACTTCTTGCATCACCATGTGCTTGCGTTCCATCCAATCTAGCGAGAAGATCCAAGTCGTTGTGGGAGCACGCGAACCGGAGAGAAGTTGCTGCGCAGTACTGTTGTATCCAACCCATGATGGGCTCTCTGAAACGTTACCACACTTTTCCTTTCCCATAGTTAGTTGCTTTGCTGGTAACACTCTCCGTAATGGGTGGATACCTTTGCAACAACAAGGGTTGCAATAACGCCCCCTCCCCCCAAGAGCCGAATGTTCTTCAGGACTGTTGAGTGAAGTCTTACTACTCTCTTCTTTATATTGTCGAGGTGCTTCACCCGAAAGTTTGGTATTCCCAACAAGTATCTTGGTTGATATTTTTGTTCGTCGCAATCAGCCGACAATTCATATATGTCGACCAGCTGCCCGGAAAAGCACCAGACGGCCGTTTCGCCCTATTGGTATCTTGGTTTCATTGAAGTACACTTGTTCTATGTCCGCATGCCACTGTTTTACTACCGATAACCTTGACGGTTTTCCGTTAGTCTGTTGCTCCAATAGAATTGTCCCGGGTTCCCATGTTTGTTCCCTGAACGCCTAGTACCATATATGGTGTCAACATTCTGCGAAATCCGAAACAGCAATGTTTGTGTCGTCGTACCACTGAGGTTTTTGTGATGCAATGCTTTGGTAGTCATCCACAGCCACCTGCAATCCTGATTGTTTGAAATTCTGGACACGAACCTCGTCCGCATACAAAGCATTAGTTAGCTCAGAATTGCTTCCCATAATTATGTGAATGAGCATTACTGAGTCACACCTCCTATTATTACTCCGAATATGTCTCAAAAGAGCCTCCAGTGTGACATCAAAAGATGAGACTAGTTTTACAGTTGTAGATAAAATATGATCCGACAGGCGTTAACTCAAAATCAAATATCCACAGCCTCATGAACTTTGGTATAAACAAAACTACGATGCACCAAACTAATTGGTCTGCAAAGCCTTCTACTTGGTGGGTGTTACAAATACGACTTGATAGGAAAACTAATCGACTCGGGTACTACCCTGTTAATGCACAGGATCAAATGTATGATCGCTACTCTAAACTTTTGACAACCGCATCACCATCGCACGTTTAGGAAACAAATACCATTAACTATGTATAACGGATGACTATGGGCGTAAATAATGCGACGGGTGATAGGCAAGTAGACTACCTATTTAAGTGAACGAATTTTACTCCTGAAGCCAGAAGTATTCAGGGCCAATCGGTGGCTTGAGTGGGACGGACCCAGCAGCAAGGACAATAGATCTGTGAAAGGTGGTGTTAAGCAGTTCGTTTAGCCAGTGTGCTCTCCATTCGCAAATTATACTACGACGTTGATAAAGAAAACTAAGGCAAGCAAATGTACTGAGTAGCAAAGCAAAATTCCTCCATGAATTTTGTAAGAATATTCCACAACAGGAGTTGCCGAACATAGTCGGCAGTCCGATACCCTTAATGGAAGGCACGAAAAGCTCTAGAAAATTTATGTTCTGGGTAACAAAACGCGTAAACGCGTGTTCTTTATGGCCTTTGCATGGAGAGCTCACAAGGACTTCCCGAATGCCGAAACCTGTACTGCCTATGTGACACAACGTAACTTTCGCGTGAAATTGATCCGCAAGGACAAGATGACGCAAAAACCAGAGTTAATGGAGCAATTCTATCAAACCGCGAACCCTTATACAGGCGTGTTAATGGACTTCGTAGGGTGCTGCACAGAATTCCAGAACTGTTCACGACTGACGTGCGCTTGTGATCAGCAACGGAGGAAGCCAATCTCTCAAGGTTCCTTTACCCACATACGTTTCGGAGAGTAATGGGCCCAATAATTATCCCTGTTCCTATTGTCCCACAGCTTAAACCAACATTCCTTTTACTACGGAAGTTGTCCCTGCAAATCCGCAGCTTTCTTGTCTCGATAACAACCCACCGAAGGCTCTACAGTTATCAGCCAGTTATTTGGCGGAACTCACTATTTACAATTAGCGCTGTCTAGAGGATAACCAAATTACAGCAATATAAATGAGAGTGCTCATCACTCCTATTCATAAGAGAGGTAGTTACACTGACCCAACCGAGCACCGTCGGATAACAACGCTCCCTGTGTTTTCCAATTCACGGGGTCTATCATCACAGATACGCAGATGCACTTGCTGGAAAACCACAGTATACTACCCCGGAGTAACATGGCTTTCGACAAAACTACTTTTACTATGAACCTGTTAATTGCACGCAATAGCTGCACTGAAGCAGTTGGTGGTGGAACAGAAGTCGAGGTCATCTACCTGAAATTCTCAAAAACGTTTGATCGCTTAGATCACCGAATTCCCCTGTACAAACCACAGATCTGTGGTATTGGTGACCCACTCCTGAGTTGCACAGGCAATTATTTGCCCAAACGGTAGTCGAAGTGAGAGTACCGGAATCCCTGTCCGACGCAATTGAGACGAAATGCAGTTTACCCAAAGGCTCGGTGCTAAGGCTTCGACTAAGCTTGGTATCCGGAAACGATCTATTGCGACCGCTTACTTCAGAATTCTTATTCTTCGCTGATGATAACAAGACATGGCCAGTGATCACGGAACCGGACGACCACGAAGAACTGCGGCGTGACTTGAACACAATTTCGCACTGGTCAGTTCAAAATACCCTACCAACCAATACGGGAAAATGTCGCTCTGTTCAAACAGACCATTGATATGACCACGTGCATTTGCTTGCGCCACAAATATTGCAAACTACTTTTCAGGAACGCGACGCTATTGTTCTCATTCAAACTGACCAAACATGTTCATAACCGGTTCAGGTGGCCAGCACATCGGACTGCTGTGAGGGCATTCGGGAGTTTCGACCCGTCTTCCCTGATGACACACAACTCCTACGTAAGCCCTCAAGCCGAATACGTAAGCCAAGCTTAGCAACCTTGATTGAAGCACGACCTGGAAGTGCTAGAGACACCACAACGCAGGGCTACAGAGAACATCAAGGCTCCACGAAATCTGTCTTACTAGCAAAGACTGAAGTCACTGAAAGTTTTCAGCAGACGCTACCGTAGGTTGCTCAGCGATCACATATTAATGTACCAACTATTGCGTGACCTTAATCACGTATGTCATCATTTGTTGATAATCAAACATAACACCAATCTCAGAGGTAACTATATGAAACTGAGTGAACAGTGTAGTCGGCTGGAACACCGGCAAAATTATTTTTCACTTCGGGTTTGCCAACCCTGGAACACTTCCAAACGCAACTGTTGCTTCCTCCAACTTGGATATTTTCAAAAAACGATTGGATGTTACCCTTGGCCCGCATCACTTAGTAGCTTAAGCTGTTCAACTTTAACCTATATTAATTATGTTTAAAAACCGGATTAATATGTCACATAGACTTAAGGAGACGGTACATAATGTGAGTATCCTTGTTTTTAATTTTCTCACGGGGACATCAACTGAAAGTGCTCCAATCTGGTCTTGTATTTGCACTCATTTCTCACTTTACACTTCTGTTATTCAGCGGCACATCTGTTCAATAAATGCACAAACACACACATGTTTTGCCATCGTACTTTTACCCTTACCATCCTGAGGGACTTGTCAAGGAACAACTTTTTACCCGGTGATATATCATTGTTCAATGCTCACTTTACTTAACTGATGTGGGGTCTGCTTAGATGGAGATGGGATTCACACTATCGAGTAAATCAATTACTCTGTCATAAATGCCAAAAGCACTAGCGACTCGAGGCGTCTATACTCCACCCTAAGGCTTAATAGGAGCGTCAGAACTTACGTGCTTGGAGTAGGATTATGTGTCACGCCAGTAAAGAAGCACAAAAGCGCTGGAAAAACTGACTGGGGCTTATCATTTTAAACAGGGTTCTGATTACTTGAGCACAAGTGCTAACACCAAGTAGTTGTTCAGACTAAAACAAGGGTTACTTGGAACCGTACGACATCGAACTGGAAAAACACAACTAAAAGACAAACTGTATAACAGAATAGTGGTCGTCGAGATAACCTTGACGAGTTGTTTTATTCTCCTGACAAACGCTATCAGCAGAGTACCGAGTCCAAATCCGTGGCTGATGGAAGCAACGCGCCCTTTATTTCTTTGATTAAAATATGTATGTTGCTGGAAGAAATTGCACAGTATTACTCATATGAAAGTGCTTACACAGTAACTGTCCATCCTCTCTTTGAGTTGCGCATCCTCATTTTATTCGTTATGTAATAGGTAAAAATATTTCTTTGACAAATGCACATCAGGGAATGGTCTTAAGTATGTTAGTTATTTCTCTAATATACCAGCACAAAAAACACTTCACAACTGTCGGAACATCAAAGTGATCATAGTTCGTACACACCGTCTATCATTAAACAGAAGATGGCTAATGCCTCAGTAACGCGACAAATCCCGTTCAGTCTACTTCAGTCTGCCTAAAACACTTTTCGACAGGCGTTTACCTAAACTGCTTACAGTTCCCAAGAGTAAGTGACGGCTTCAGATCAGGAAGCCCTAAACACCAACCATATGATTCACATACGCGACCACTTGTACTGCAGTCAAGGATGGACCGCTAAGCATTACAAGTATCGTCTGGTCATTTCGTCCTCCGCTATTCACCATTGGATGGGGCCAAAGCCCACTGCCTCTCACATGAATGTAACAGCGGTTCTAAACTCCTCTACAGCTAAATACGTTATTACGCACTTCGTCTGTGCGGAAGTAAGGAAACGGTGATTTCCTTATGCTGCTGGTCCTGTAGTTCAGTTTGATTGCTGTGATTTACCTCCATACCCAAAATTGTCTTGAAACTTGAGTTTTGTACAGCTCAGGGGACAATCAGGATTTCTCTGTCGATTGGCTAAACTAGTGAACGAGTGCTAACCGAACTCGATAACACAAACATCCGATTAGGCATAAGCACGGTAAGTCCGCTCAGTCTAAGAGAAATCCAAATGTAGGCAACCAAGTGTAGTTAAGGATGAAATTTATGCGGTCAACTTGACCACCACCTTGTACAAGACAGGTATATTCCAAGGACAAGTGCCATTTAGCAGACTGTGACTTAAGCAAAATTGTCATTTTAATTCGTTCAGGGACCGTTCACTATAAAAGGAAATCAAGTCAAACCAAAGGGTGCTTTTGATTGTGTGAAATTTACCAAATGCAGGTAACAGCCGTCTTACCACGTACTTCACTCTCGCGTTCTTGTATCCAAGCCTCCGATGGTTTTTGTCCAACTTCATCCCTACAGAAGTGGAATGTGAGATACGATCTGTCTAGTGGTGATATATGTGATCTGCTCTGCATATTTATATTTGAAATTATGAAAGTACCAAATTACCCGCACTCTATAAAATGTTGTTAATGTGTACTGCCGCGATAACTCGAACATAGGTTCAGTTGCTTAAGGTGTGCCACTTCGGACCCATGTGACTAGCCTACGAAAGACACTCCACCCCTATGTACCACTTATGTACAGCTATAAAATCAGGATCTTGTAGTGTGCGATGTAGAATCCACTCGGCAGAATTGCAATTCGTAATCAGTCGGTACATCCATGTTGACCGAAATGATGTCAGCAAACTTTTCAGTAGGATGACGGAGAATAATGCTGGAGCACGATACATTCAGGCTGGCATAAGTTCTCTGTATTGGGTCACTAAATAACAAGTGTGTAGGAAACTTAGAACAGGCAGAGCAGGCCTATTAATGGATGCACTACGATGTTGTTTTCTATAGGCCGGTAGAGTTTATCTGTGGAGCTAGCAAATCCCAACTCTACACCCCACGATCGACCGGTCTCGTCCTGAGTTGAACTCGTCTGGTAGAGATTGTCTGAGCTATATGGGACCGGACATGTAATGATTGACGGTATAGCCTTGGTTATTAAACCACAGCAACGTGAGCAGTGCTTGACACAACGGTGGGAAATGCGTTGTTGGGTCTTGGAGTACCTGTCATGTGTCTGAATTACGACACAACTTCGAATGAGGCCATAGTTTCTTCTAATTAAACTGCTATTTCCATCACTGGGACAGCATCCGTAGTGGAGCTTGGGTGTAGTGACTACGTCGTAAACTGGGAACCACTATGTGTCGGCTGCCCCTCTCAGCTCAAACTTTCTCTACATAATGAGTCCAAATCAGGACGAAATCGGTCAGTTGTACGTTATAGTGTTGGAGGAAAGAAGCCCCAAAACCCTCCACTTCGGATGTGGTCCCAGTAATCGAAATTGCACAGGTTTGTTTCAAAGCAACCTGTAACCTCAGTCGCGATTAGTTGTCGCAATTCAGACACACGGCGCGTAACACACGAACCACTAATGTACCATCGAGCTTGTTCACTTTCACTTATTTTTTCGGTCACAAGATGCTCGTAGATAGTAAACCATAAGTGCGTATTGACAGTCTTTTGGGCTCTCAACCGATACCCTTTCGCTGTCACCGTGTCAAATTACTGCAACTGCTTGGCAGACAGGCAGAGTCTATCATAGATATTTGCTGACTGGTCAACTCAGATTGGTTACTAATGTTACCCTTTATCTGCTCACTTATTTTAAAGTAATGTCGCTTTTGTTCTGTTGTAACAGACAACAAGGCTAGCCAGACCGAAGTGTATTAAGGACTGAGATATAGTTGTATCTCTAGGTCACAAACGCATCTACATCTTTACGTTGCAATCCAACTATACGTCGTCCGGCTGATTGGCGATCACCTTTTTTCGTATGTTCGAATGCACTGTCGATCTGATATAGTTGACTATATGAAAGCCTAGCCAATCGCAGTCGAGAACTCCGACGCTGACGGAATTATTTCGTCAGTTCAAGCCGACCCCATGGCAACCTGTAATGTCGATGACGTACCGATTTCGTAGCTGCTTGACGGTACACAACGCATCGTAAAATCCCGACTCAGCATTAATTCGTTGCGACCAACTAACATAATACATTTTCCTTCTCTCTGCATAAAACGATACGTTCCGATGCACTCACATGATTTTACTCAGATCGAGGCAGGTGTGATGGTCTGGGTGTGGCTGTCTACTATCCCTGCACTCCACGACCGACGGGTTCGTCTTTCTTAAGACTCGCAGAGCTCAATGGCCCAGTGATCATGGCGATAGCCACCGAGCACTAGGCGCCAAATTCCTCTCCCAGCTCGGCTATCTCTACCTGATGAGCCCAAACCAAGACAAAACTGTCTGTCGTGGAGTGCAGTGAGGGGAGGGAGTCACACCGAAACCTTCCACTTCGGTGACGGTCCCAGTGACCGTATTGACAGAGGCTGACTTCAAAGTCAACCGAGGCCACGATTCAGATTGCGTGTCCCAATCCAAGTGACACTGAGGGTGCTCCAATCCCGAAAAGCAACTGTGATGGTTGTTGCTTAACCAGAACCATATATCGTACGTGCAGAACCTGAGCGAGGATCTGCCAGAGCACCGCCTGCACCTCTACCACCGTAGTCAAGCGTCGACAATAATCACGTGGGTCAAATGGTTGATTCAATAATAATTCTACTGGGAGTGAGCGGAATGAAAACAATGGATTTATTTCACCGATACTGCGTACTGATGAATTAGCACAGGTAGCATGAGTGCACGTTGTGTATCGACGCACGCCCCTAACCGATGGAAACTCTTTCACAGTTTAAGTGGCCTTGCGTATATGAACAATAGATATTGCTAGTTTGTGGCCATTTTTAGGATTGGAAATATACAGGACACCAATAATGTAAACCCTCTTCGCATGCTGAACTGTTTTCTCTTCTTAATATCGCAGTGAAATTAAAATGACCAATGAAGTGGATCTGCCGCACACTCTCACTATGCGTTTCCTAGATGTGCTGGTATGCACATAGTCTAGTCGATTGTAACCTGTTTACATACAGTGTAGTTGAATCAGGACATGAATATATGGTCGTACATTAGCATATCATTAGTTTTACAACGTCCCTATTGCTAACGGAAGCTATAGTTCATTTGGCTTTCAAATATGATCATCAGGCGAGTTACTCTACCATCTTGGGGCTACATATATGCAGTCATCTTGGAGTAATCGATCTAGATGCTGGTGAGACTGCATTAACTGTAATTGGGTCATCTACTCGTAAGCAATTTTTGTCGCAAGACTGTCATGCATCTCCGTTGGATATCGCCTGCACGGATGGGATTTAGATGAGGCACCATCTTATCATTGGTCACCACGGCAACAGGAAAATGCTAAATGTTTCTCTGGAAATAGACTTGCATGCTCTTCTCTACAGTGCTTGGTTCAAACAAAAGCCACATTTTGGAACAGACAACCACTCGCTCAAGGCCCTGAGTACACACATTTCCCAAAATTTCGCAAAACTGTGGTTGGCTGACACTTGTCTCTTCCAACTCTAATTCGCATGCTGGCTTGGTTTGTTCTGCATATATTCTAAAGTACTATCACAACTGTCCACTGACCTACGAGTGCCCCGTGAGCGTTTGATTCATTACAATCGTAAGTCCCGAGGCTGTATCCTAAGCTTGTGTACGGATTACGCCGGATATACGGCACTCGTTTATTCCATTGTGCATACCACCCTTGGTCTTCTCCCTTAGCTTCAGGCATCCAGTTTGACTACAACTGTCCTTTTCTACCTTAAAGAAGCAAAACTAACCCCCGACTTTGCCTTGAGCCAATTACTCTTCATCTAAGTAGTGAGTATTTGAAGGCATTTCCAAGAAGAATCTGAAATACTACCACTGGAAGCCACTAATTCACTTTAGTGTACGAACTGTCGAGATGCAACTCACTTCGGTCCTCGGAGGGGTTTGAGCGTATTCGGAGCAGACCCTGAGACATTTCTCCATCGGCCAGAGTGAGATAGGTAATGTGTAAAACCACCCCTTGTTTGGTTCCCCTTAGCCTCGTAAATGTCCCGTAGTTCTCTCACTGTCCATCTTGTTGGATCATCTTCTCTTTTGATGGGCCGCATCTTTAATGCACGAAGATCCGAACCATTACTTTTCTCCTTCTGGGGCTGATAATTGTTATTTTCTAAAGTCAACGGGCTCGTTACTCGGCCAATTCGTGAGTCAATAACTGACATTGGATAACTGCTTTTTCGCTTACTCGTTCTTACCGCCGCAACGCCCAGAGTACTATCCGGTTGTAGAGAAGAAGCAGGGTTTAATTCTGAGCTGCGAATGACAGTTTCGCATGGTCTGATGTGCTTTTGAGTATTCACAAAAGATTCCTCCGCTAACACAAGGAGCGCTATTGAATCGGTTGGCTCTGTTTGATCCCATTCTGGAAGTGTTTTAACGTCCTCTCTCTCATTCTCACATGCGCTTTTATAATGTGGCATGACTATGGTTTGCATTCCTTCTATGATCTCTGTTGATCTGAATCCAACACCAGAGCAGTCGCCGATGCCTTTCTGCGAGTCTGGCAACGCTTCCTCCTCGTCTGCAGTGCGGTGTCTCTTGTGCTTACAATCCGGGAGTTTTATGCTCGACGCAGTTACCGCATGACTATGTAAAGATTTATTCTGTTCATTTCCCGTTTTAGGTCGAACCTGAATGTGTGTTGAAGTTTCACATCGCCCACTAGGGTTGATTGCCTCGCAGGTGTATTTTCCGCTGTCACTGCACTGCGGAAAGTTAATTCGTAGTTGAGTTGCTGTTTGCTGGCTGACGACCTAATAAATATAAATGCAATAGCCACCAGAAGTTCGAAAAGAATAAAAAAGTGAAATTGATTAGTTTAAGACGTACTACATTATAACCCAGCTCAATACCTGGGAGTAGGTAATTCTAATAACATGAAAATACATACGATGCATAATCAACGGGCACTAAAACCAGTGCAATATGAATTTGTTAAAAACAGCTAATGTCAGTGTTAATTCCTTGGACACTACCGACTTCCGGCCATATGCTGGTTGCCTACAAATACCAAAATGTGTCAATCACAAGCTGATAATTTGTCTTACAAAAACTGCGCTTAATAATCAACCCAAAGCCAGCAAACTTGAAATAAACATAAAGTGAGTTGAGTACTAATTAATATAACTGCTGCGGTGCTTAGGATCAAAATATTACTTGTAAAGTATGCAGCACACAACTTTTAATAGTTCTGCACATAAAAATTACCAGGGAGTCAATGTCGTATCTTCCGCATCCAGGAATTCGACAGCGCCTCGATGATCGCAGTTTTGCCGCTAAGATCTCCATAATTCACAAATGATCAATTTGACTCAACTATATCTAATTCTCAGTAAAGCAAACCTCGATCAGGAATATGAAAGGAAGAACAGTTATTGGACATTTCACTAGTTCGTTTAGTACTACGCATTGGTTAAAGATAACTAACTCTGATTGGTTGGCAGCGTGAACGCGACAAATTGTCTTGGAGCTGTGTGTGTATGATCAACTCGCGATTCGAGATCATACCGCCCCGGTTACGGCTCAATAAATCATTGCGCATTACCACTGGTTCCTCGAATGTTCACTTATGACTACAATGATAGCCTGACACATTGTCTTGTGAAGCAACACGCGAAGTTTATTGCGCTGTCTCATAGGTGTAGTCGATTTGTTGCCAGGAATTAAGCTTGGTTTACAGCTTCGTAATAATCAAAATATCCTTGAAAGAGTCGTTCGAAGTCTGGAAGCAGTCGATATTCTGATCCATTTCAATGGAATATGTTCAATGAGCATTCTCGTGAATCCTCATCCGCGACAGGTGGACATCTGTTTTGCCGAATAGCCTGTGTCCCTTTTACTGGTGAATTTTTGGTGTCACTATTGCACAGTTGATTTGTATGACAAATTTCTGAGCACCAGCAAAAAAGAAGCCGAAAACTATCGAATAAGTGGCCGCTGACGTTCCACTTATACACGAATTCCTCTGTAGAACTCGGGAGATAACTTAGATCATTCTGAGATTTCGACCCAGTCAAACCAACCAACATTAAATGTCTTCCCGATACTCTCATAGCCGCGATGGGTTTCGTTCTAATGAAACACTGCTCCATGGTGTACAGCAGCACAATCAAATGCGATTGCATTGCGTTAGGACATGTGCAATGAGCATTTACAAAAAGATTATTTGGTACCTCGTCGAAATGAGGATATTTCGAAGGATATGAAATACGCAAAGTTGGTCTCAAGTTCCTGAGGCGCATGAAGCACAACCTGATCATACTCTTTAATGTCAGGCACAAGAAAATGCAAGCCTTAAACCTTAACAAGGTAGTAATATATCCACCTGAATACAACACGAAATAAGGCGAATTCAGTGGTGGAATTCAGGTGGAGGGTGTCCAGATCCGAACAACGTCCTAGTGATGTCAGCTGGGTGGTTCGGGTTTAACCCGTTCCAGCAAACAGTTCGGCTGCAGTGGTCCAGGATGTGGTGGGTTTTCGTCTGTCAAGCGTTCTCCCTATAAAAAGCGCCAAATGTTTGCTTATCAACATTACGAGTTGGAAGATGTGACTTGCCACAAAGTAAAGTCACGGTCCCGTGGATATCCGGAAGATGCTATCCAACCCACAGACATCAATCGTTTATTCTCACATTCCTGACGATAACAAACAGTCGAAATGCTGCAGTACGTTCACATAAACAAGCTACACCGCTACATTCATACTCAGTTCCATACGTATATACACCCATACACATGCATTCACAGTTATGCCAAACATGTATTTTCGTACAATTTTGATCACACTATGTTAGCTTAACATGATCATGCCCGTAAAGGTGTGCTTCGCATTGTCGAGAACAAAAGCTTATTTATTTATTTATTTATACCAAGCATCCTAGCATATGGAATAAATTGCCATCCGCAATACATGCTTGAAATTCAGAGTACGAATCCCGCCTAAGGACTAGCAACTCTTTGCTAGTAAAAATAGCCTAATCAAGCTAGTTGGATGTCACAAAACGGATGGAAAAACATACAAACAAGACCAATGATTCATTTGGTCCAGTAAGGAGTCTAGAACAGAAAGTAACTACTGAAGTGAGTAAGCCTCTACGCTCCCAGTCTTCATCTTCTCTAGCTTTTGATCGGTGAGGAGGCTAAATGAACACACCTCTATGCTATCTATCCTCATCTTCCATCTTCATCTATTGCTCTTATTACTGTCCACTACATTTCGTTTTCTAGACACATCTCTTGCTGGATTCTCTGATGCGCGTCACAAACAACACCCGATATTCCGGAGTAGCCTTGAGCCAAGCGACCGTCAAAATGTATTGCAAACACATTTACTCATACTTTGTACTCAATTTAAACACATTTCCCTATTGTCCAAAAACATCATATTCATATTCTCAAGCGGCATACTAATCCTGATAAAAACCTTCTTGATAGTAGAATATAGAGATATAATAATTATGCCCTGTACAAATTGAAAATGGACTCGCATCACAGTTGTATATTTCCCGAATATCCATGGTAGTTGCAGTAGAATAGGCTTTTACCTAACTGAACGTGCTGTAATGAGCGTGTCTTGTTAGAAATGGGAATATACAATCTATTTAGTTTATGCTGTTGTAATCCGTTATACAACTGACCGTTCAACAAAAGTGAACCTGTCCCACTCGTCGGGAATTATCCTTATTTATTCTTTTATTCTTTTAACTGAGCAGCATCAGTGACCTATGTTTCTGCGTCAAGCGCATACAAAAACCCAATTCCCTGTTTACACTACACTCTAAAACCAAAATCGTTCAACCTAGCCTCCAATATCATTGAACGATGGCGGCACAGTAAGGCAAGTTGAGTCACATTGAAATGCATATCTCAGTAGAGGATAGGAGTCCGGATACATCAGGGTCATTTACCTGGTCACGGTAGATGCCAAACATCTGTCATGGACTATTGATCTTCATCAAGAACTCTTGAGCATTATGTTACTGGTTCTCACCCCTAGCAGACCGACTGGAATGCACGCTACTGTCGATTCTCGAAAGGATGGAACGGCCGTCCGGATGTGCAGTGTTTGTGATGAATGTACTTTAAAACTTGATCTTAATTCCTCCTTTCAGTAATCTCTATTGAAACCTAAAGGCCGATCTTTGCCTAACTACATCACTGGGAATTCACGTCTTGGGGTGACTTTTGTACAGTGAAGTTTTGCGGCTGCAGTTACTAAAAGTCTCATTTTTGCCAAATAATCTGTTTGTGTGTTGGTAATTTCTGTCATATCCGTAGAGAGATTACTCCGCTTGGAGTTACTACTTATTGGGAAGATAAGCCACGCGGCGCAAGACGCTTAGTGTATAGTTCAGCACTTGTTCACGATAGCTGGTACATCTGGTGGCCTCCGTTGAATAATTCGACTAGTTATGATCTGCCCAAATTAGCAAATATTTCTATCTTTATCCAACTCATCCACATCGTCGGAATGTGATGCGTCCAAATTGCTTGACCTACACCGAACATTTCACTCAATGTTCAGATGTAGTATTGACTTATTACAACTGCTGGACATTCATCGCTGTTCATCCAGAACCGATGCTCTTCTGGAAGGCGAAGATTAACTGCAGCTTGCCTGTCATCAGTTGACGAATTATCGCCTGCAGAGACAGCAGCGGAGAAGGCAACTTAGGGCACTAGCGGTTCCGGACCAATTTGTTTAAATGCTCTGCGCTTAAAATTGCATGCTAATATGTAGTCCAAATGGCGCTGCTAGGTGACTCCGTCCAGGTCTTTCAAGTTAATAGGGATCAAAATGGCACTTTATGTTTTGCTACTGACTATACAACAATAACAATCATGTCTTCAACATTTTAAAAACTGACACTCACTATAGACCAGCAGAGAAAAAGGGTTGCGTAAATGGCACAGATAGTAATACAGTTACCACGTCAATATGTTAGTTGACTCTTGAACAATGAACAATGATATATTACAGGTAAAAAAGCGATTGCTTTACAAGTCCCGTAGGATGGTTGAAGTGACTCTTGAAGTTGACTCTTGAACAATTAAGTTCTGGTCCCATAAAAACGCACTGGTTTTGGAGCGAGGATACTATAGTAGCATGTGCTGAGGTCTTAATGAGTTTGTATTTCGACAGGTCGATGAATCTGATGCGCAAAAGATAATACACTATACGTATATTTGTGAATAGATCTAAAGCAACATTTTCGCCGGAATTGCTACGAATAGACATGGTACTATCTAGAAAGTTTGACTTTGCATTCTGGCTACACCAAGGCGACTGATTTTGCGACCTACCTGGCATTTTAATTATTGCCCATTAGACCTGCAAACGTCACGGAGGAGCAATATACCCATCTGGATACGACAAAACTAGTGATAAACTACGGTAATAAATGGCGGTGGCACAGAAGCATCTCGGACAAAGGTATAAAGTGAAAGCTTCATGGGTTTTGTGAATACTTAGTTCATGCGAAGTGATTGCGATGGATCGTGGCCTAGTACGACACCTAGATATTACAATGACGTGTAGTACAAACTCTCACTATAAAGTGAAGTTCAGGCATTCAATAAGGAATTGTCAATAACTGTCTCTTTTGTGTACAGAGAAAAAAATCCACTGCATCTTAACCCATTAAGCAACAAACCACAACCTTTGAACCACAATGTGTGGTTGTCCAGTAAGGTTTGCCACCTGCTTCCTAAGGTTAAGCTTGGATCCTCGATATACTTCTGTCTTTATACTATGGACGAAACGCCTGCGATTAAATTGCCAAGCTCGATGATCGACTTGACCACAACGGCAGACTCTGTTATCTGATGGGATGTAATAACATCGAAACATCATATTAGTGCAGTGTTTCCGGCGGGCAACACCCATTACTATTCGCCTAGCAACCAGTATTCACACAAGGAGCACTTCAACATCACTCCTCCGCTGTCATTAACTTGTTACGGACTTTGTGCGTCATGACTCGGGGGCGAAAGGAGTAGAGGTTTTTCGCTAACATCCCACTGACCCCGGTACGACGCCTGCTATCTGTCTGAGGCGATAAAATAAACTTGAAACCGGTCTATTGGCGCAGTGTTTTCCGGTGGGCAACACCTTGGATTCATCAGCTTGATCAGTGTACGATCACTCAAATCCACGTTATCTGCATGTTTCAGTAATATCGATCTCCCAAATGCAAATAACGAGTCGACGTGAGTAGATCAGATGGACGGCGACAGAATAGCCCCCCCCCTTAGACGCAGGAGTTTGTGATGAGCGTTCAAGTCGAGTGGACTGAGCATGTGTGGCAAACTAATGCCTCAGTAGTCGACGATGACAGTTGGATTCCGATCATAAGAACATCCATAAAACGAGGTTCACACAGCCGAAAGCGTTCCTAAAATCAACAACACAAGAAGCGCATGTACTTGATGGTGTTGACTAGCTGTGACGGCGCCGGGTAGGCTAGGTATGTCACGGTGTTTTTCATAGACTTCTAAACACAGTTAGCTGAAGATGAATCTGAGAACCTACATGCGCCGATATCCCTAGGGAAATGATTTTCGCCAAGATCATTAAATATACTTAGGTACTTGTTCATCTTCATTTAGTCTGTAAGTGTCAACCGCTTGCCACTATACATTGCAGAATTCCCTTGGTCTGCTTATGCTTTGTATGTCATTAAAGATTGGGCAACGCTTTGTGTCAGATCACGTTCTGTCTGTCCTGCAAAACTGATCATCGAGGAAAAGTAATGATTTCCATAGGTCATTATTAGTGCATCGAATTTTGGGCGATTTTTGGATGTCATTCCCGATTCGTCTCCACTCCATTCAGATCAACACTAGGTTCTGCGAAAATCCACGATAGCAAGCCCTTTTTGATATATACTTGGTAGTTAGCTATGACTGCACATAATCATTTTTATCAAAAACCTCGCCTTCAGCCTGCCGCATTGCTTACCGGAGGCCAGCCATTACTTTAGGAACTGACAGGATCTCGAACGATACTGCTTTCAGATGTTCAGTTTTGAAGATCCGTTGTGAAATACACAAGGGTTCACAAGAATATTGCTCCAAAAGGATGTATCACCACACTTCCTCCTCTTTATTACGGGGATTGCAAGGACAAGGGGTAATAAATGTGTGTGTCTGTGTGCGTAAAGCTTTGTGCCTAGTACAATTCGGCTGGTCAGCCAAGTGGTCAGTACTCAGAGGTGTCAATGCTTACCGGCGTCAGAAAATCATACGGACTGATAAACATATAGGCGGCTTTTCGGTGCCCAGTTGGAAGCCCACTTGCAACTTACTGAGATCAGAAGAGAATAACATGATAACTAATTCATGCAGTTAGGAAACAATTTCACCAATACCCCACAGGCTGGGATATACCAGAGGGCACAATGAACTCATCAGCTGTCTCTAGCATTTAGTCACCTAGCTATTGGCCTTAGTCTTTTTCAAACTAACTGCTTGCCTATGTCTGTAGCTTAAAATAAAAGACATCGGCCCAGAATGAACCCTGAAATTTGCATCATGTTCATTGAATGATTCCGTGATCTATATTTTGTAAGCAGAAGAATTGAGCAACTATTTTCCAAAAGCACCAGATGTGTAGTTCTGAGTTTCGGAAACGAGTTGGTTTTCATCTGCGTTATTCAATTATCTGCACAAACACAGGGCTATAGCTGTCATCATGCGCTAGCAATCAGAAAACTAAATTGTCAGAAAGTTTCATACTGACGCCGAAAGGAGCTTGATTGGGATGATCGATGAAGTTAACTTACTCTCACCCTTGATTGGGGCACTATCTCTGATCCATCTTTTGACCATAGGAAAGTGACGTCTACGGCAGATGGTTGCACGTGGCAGAAAAGAAGGAATGCATTTTGGTCGTCGTCGCCGTTGCTGTGTCGTGCATCCGGCACGTATAGGTCCACTTCGTAACTTGTCTCCAGGACTCCTTGGAAAACTGGTGGTTCATCCGTACATTTACGTACACGCGCAAAATCTATAACTTTTTCACTGAAACTCAATGGAGTGATGCGACTGGCGCGTGAATTGACGCTTCCGTTTAAGGTGGAAGGAGCTGAGATGGGCGTATGTGACTTCAGAGTGCTGGATGTGGATAGCCTTCGGGAATTTGATCTGCTTCCAAAACCGGAACTGGACACCGATTGCCACCATTGCTTCAATTGGTTAAAAAGCTTTGGTAGACTGGATTCCTGATTCATCGGAATATTCACTTCTGCAATACGAGATGAGAAACAAAGCAACATCGACTGACTATAAAATCAGCCTGTGTGATCATTAATTAAACTTTTGGAAATCCTCAGTGTGCTTATGTTCTAAGCAGAAGTGTGCAACATATCGGTAGGTACCACCTTTCAACTGCTGAAATGCTGTAATGTGGTTGGTCTTTGTGTGATTTATTGTGGTGCAGAGCAGAGGAAAACCCGACGAAAAAGTGAAAAATTGTTGAGTGATCGGACATATGTTGCATACACTATACAGGTGCATTTTACGTCATCGTCAACGGTGGACACGAGGGGTACGAATACAGAGCAGATTATCTTGATACGATTAAGGCTACATAGGTTTCAAGACTAGAGTAAATGTCGGGTGGCTTGAAATGTCAAATTGATCAAGAACATTGATGATCTGCGGATTTATGTCGCATGTGCATTTGAATTATCATCAGCCAAAGCTTCGAAAATCTTGTCGCTTCATCTTCGATAGCAAAAAGTGGTGTTGCAATAACTTGGAATAGGCTCGAAAAGTATCGAAATATTGTATCAAACGAACACTACCATAAGGACCAAGTATACTGGATATCGTTAGTCTGGGGGACAAAATATCCCTACAGGTAAACAAAAGAAGTTCCTTGAGTAAATGTATCTGTTCTACTTTACTTCGATCGTAGTCTATACATTATTATTCGTAGCAGTTACTTTCGATTTGATCAAATATAATGGATGTTTATGCAATCAGTAAACTAATGATAACACACGGAAACCGAGAAGGAACACAGTGTCAAAGAATGTAGTACACGAGAAAGGGGTAAACTGAAATTCGATTTTTGAAAGAAAAACACGAAAGCTGTGGAAAATTGGAGACTCAAATTTTACAACGCCGCATTGCTTATAGCATTTAGTTTGCTACTAGACGGCTCAATAACGTTCACCACTCCTATCCTTAGCAAAGGTTCGCCTGACAACGCTACATGCAACGCAGGCCACACTGGTCTGAGTCAGATCTCGTCGGGAGAAGTTCCGACCAGTGGGCCAGTGAACAGTGACTTCATACGAGTTAAGAGGCTCCGGATTACAAGCCCCGTTGGGTGGTATAATGGGTAATCGAAAAACTTTAAGGAAAAAACAAGCAGTAATTTTACTGACAACTTAATGGTTATCGTTTTTAATGCAATACTACTGCACTCAGAATAATTTCGAAACTCCAGTAGGTGCCAAGTTATCAATCCAACGTATTTCTTAGGCATAGAATAGAGCGATTGTGCTAAGTCACAAATTGAAAATGGCCAATGTAAGTGCAGAAACGACCGATTCTGGAAGTGCCTTCCACGGTGACAAGCGGATAGAAAAGAGGTTTTGACCGCACCCCAGAATTCTGTTTGTTCTGCTAGTTTTGAGGAGTGACCCCTCAAGATTATGCTATTGCTGATCTGCAGTAAGAACGGTACGCATGAGTTGGCTTGCGTAGAATTAAGTATGCCATTATCAGGTCACCAAGTAATGGGCGATGCCCTCCGCCGAATATCTCCAATATTTTCAGCCTCTGCTCGTATGCGAAATTGCGAATTCCAATAACGTACTTGGATTCCCAAGTTTAAGGTTACCTCATCGCATTAAGATCGCGTGACAGCATGGATACCAACACTGAATTGCTTATTCTACCTGGAGAAGAAGGTAAGCACTGAACACCTGTCAGAAAATAGGGATGTCCATTTGTCGGAAAGACCGTTGCAACAGACAGACGTGTTAGTTACCATATTTCGATGCCATTTTGGAATGCTTGGAGCAACCCAAGTTTTCTTGAGCCAGCACATCCAGGTAACGTTCGAAGGAACTTCGCTGCAGTTCATGAGTTCCAAGCCTGTAGGAGTAGGTTCTCTAGTATCGTATGGAGAATACCTTGCATTTGCTCACGTTAAACTTTAACACCTTTTCGGCTGACAACTGATAAACCATAATTAAATCACACTGAAACAGATCCTGTACGGAATTTAGCTGATTCCTCCGCCATATATTGAAATAGTAAACGTATAAAACTTGCGCGAGATTCTATGTGAGTAATAAATAACCAAAGCAATAGTGGCTCTAGAACAAAGACTTGGTGCACATCACACCAGGGAGCTCTGATCACCAATTGATTTTGTAGACCAAGGTTGCCGATGTAGCGTAAGAGAGGATCACCGAAGCCATAATACGGGCATAGCAAGGTAAATCCGATGATATAGGCGATGAAATGCCTGCAAAAATCCAGGTAGATCACATCAACGTCCACTCTAGCACCAGCTGACATTGTCCAAATCCTACTTGCGATTAAAATTTTACTGTTGGTGATCGTGCTCGACAGAAGCCGTGTTACTCGGAAGCAATAATGTTACAACTTTCCAAATTTTCCAGTATCGGCATTGATGTACTCCATGATCTTAGAAAATAGAGGAAGAAGTGAGATAGGGCGGTAGTTTGAGTGCTTAATCCTCCTTCCGCATTTGTGCATCCGTATTATTTCATGCCTAACATGATAGAAACCTGCTTCTGGTCTAAGCATGGCCGAAGAAACTGGGCCAAAGTTTCTGCTAGTTGTCATGCTGCTCTTCCCATTGCTTCTGCGCGCATGGTATCAATAGAACAATGGAATAACACGGATAAAAACATGCCAAAGATTGCTTAATCTTGTGGGATGGTTTGCATGAATTAAGTAAATTCAGCAAAATGACTTGCACCAAAGTGAAACGCGCATCTGTGGACTCATCAAAATATTCACGTAAACACAGAGTAAATCTGTTAACTTCGATTGCGTGAGGGTTAGTGAGCATCATGTTTATCTGTGTCTTTCCGGCACTCGATGAACGGAAATCAAATCAACTAATGCAGATCGTGCACCGCATCGTTGGGTCAAGTTTGCGAATGGGCGCAGTAATGAAAAGTTCAAAGAGCGTGCCACGGGTGCCAAATTCAAAAAGCAAAATAATTTAAGCGACATTCCGTCCGACTGTATTGGGTGATTAGTTGCATCTGGTGACCCCATCAAACTTGTGTTGCGGCTGTTTCAAGAGGTGGCAGCAAGCGTGACCTGGGTTTTCCAAATTCTGGTACGCCAGAAGGAAGTCACCTCGTAGATGGCGATTACTTCGCTGTATACTCCTACGGATTTCAGTCGCAGATGGTATGGGGTGGAACAATTCCTTTACGTTTTTGGTTACCTTTGCATTGGGGTTTTCGCTACAACCAGGCGGTGTCTTAACCAGACCTACCAAGCCTGAATCGCGTACTCCAAATAGGGCCTTACATAGGCTTTGGGCATTTGAGGGAAGCTGGAGGGATCGAATCTCCCGAGCGCACTCTGGTAGGGTTTATGTTTGTTCGCGGTTTGCAATGTATACATGGATAACCCGTAACGGTCAATGGCGTCTTGCACCGCCTTCCTATCATCACGCTCCTGCGATGCGATTTTTAAGATGTGGTCTCCAAGGATATATGCGTTAGTAAGGTTGCGGCGTATTTGTGTAGTGTTGCCGTTGCCTGCATTGAAGGGAAGTGGACTTACTTCTAACCATGCAGAAGCACAATCGAGGTCCCGTTGTAGTAGATCCTGATCTCCCTGACTACCGATCACACGTCATAGCTTGATGTCATCGGCGAAAATAGCGAAACCACTTGATGACACCTACAACCTCGTCGATGAAGACTAAGAATAACTGCGGTTCCAACACTGATCATTAGGGAACACTGCACTCCACATTAAGTGGATGAGAAAAGGTGCCCCGAAACCGAGCGTGCAACCGCCACTGTAGGGAACAATTTCCGAAACATCCAAGGACAAGGTGCCCGATTCAATACTTTTGCAAGATCTAGAGAAGGATTTTGGGATCTAAGCGGCCGTATATTTTAGAAAAGCCGAGATGGATGGTCAGTACTCGTCACAATATCCGCTGCCTCAGTCCAACTGCCGCGCGCAATCAGCAGATTGGTAATGCATGACCGAAGCTGTCGGAGTGCGTATTTTTCCGGCGCCATGATGTTACATCTTTCTAGGTGGCCTACTAGTGCTTCAGCTAGGACCAACTCCATCAAATTTAAGTATACCGAGAGGAAACTCATTGGGCGATGGTTGGCGGGCTCTGAAAAGCTACCACCCTTGAAACTTGGGGTGATGATGCCCTGCTTCCACAAGCTGGGAACCTGTTGTTCATCCCAGCATCTTTGGAAACGCTTTTAGGGGAATGTTGTCAACACCGGGTGAACTACGGGTGCTCAGCGATAACAGCTTCCTCGAAACGGTTGCTTAACTAAAAGTGACATGGCGCGTGCCGATGGCGCGTCGAAATATTGGGGTGAATCGGAACCATAGAACATTGGCTGTATCCTCGGGTTTTGAGTAAATCCATTTGCTGAGACGAGTAGGGAACACCATGCTTCATATTCCGGAAGCTGTTCACATTTTCGTACAGAAGCTTGTTGTTAGCGCAAAACCAATACGCTAGACTCTGCTGGTTTACAAATTTGTCCCAACGACAAATGGGGTGCAATAATTACGCTACGGTCTAGTTGATCCGTTTGTCACAGCTATGGCTCATAATGTACTCATGCCACGCTGCGTCAGTTACCGCGTTTCTTACCTCTTAATTACAGAGGATGTATCCTAAAAGTACTAAAACTCACGCTTCAACCAGAGCAGACAGTAACAGAAGTGTTAAAACGCTGGCAGTAAAATGGAAGAAGCCTTCCATCTGCAATTTGGTTAAATGTTACAGAAGCCTTGCAAATACCAGACATGAGCTTAGCTGAAAGTGCAAAATACCGGCTCATTAATTTGATTATAAAGTAAGTCCGGACAAGGTTTGGGATGTACCCTGGCCCAATCAAGCTGTGGACGAGGTGTCAGTACTTAACAAAAAATGAAAAAGAACTGACCCCACATCGGTCGACATTCTCCCACACCGGACTCCTCTAGCCAACTATAGTCTCCTAAAGACTTAGAATATAGCCTGCTCTTATACGAAC